ACATTTACGAACATTACGACATAATGGCCCCAAAATCCGTATAGCCGTCTGGGGGTCCACAGAATGGTTTTTAAAAGGTATTTTTCGGCGAAAGCCAACCCTTTGAATGGGTGAATTAAGCTGTTTCAAGGATAAATGACTGGCATTAATCACAGCAGATAAGTGCTAGTGGGAATTACTGATTACTTTTGTAGCTTAAATAGTGGTGTACGCATGCAGTAATTACTATACTTATTAAGCATAGCTCAGGATCCCACCAAGACTGTCCGTCCTTTATGGCAAAACTTAGTTCTATATTTGATAGCACATTACGTAACTTTGTTCTGTGGTTAGCAGTGTGTGTTCTGATATCAAACAAAACACATCAGTTCCTACATTGTATGCCACGGAACCCTATGTACTTTAGGCTACGTATGCTGATTCAGCTTTGTCCTTTCTACTTGTTCACTGTCAACCATAATATTCCACGCGTCAAGAACCTTTAAAGCATCCATAATCCAACAATGTAAAATTGCCCTACAGTGTAGTCACAACGTTGTCCATGAGCCTTTCTTCTTTTTTTGGGGGGGGGGTTGTGTTATTCTGGGAGAGAAATTTTGGTGCCGTTTTGGTTTTATGCTATATTTGTGAACAGAATATGACGTCATTCCGAGTTTCAAAAAATTGTATGTTACGGATGTTTCAGCACCAACAAAGCAAACATTTCCGAAATTTAAATATTTTCTTTGGTGATGCTTTGCTGTGTAACTACAAAGCAATTAGCTAATTAAAACTGTTAACGCTTTACGAATGTGATGTTTATAATCCAAAGTTAAACACGTTAAGGTGTTGGTTTCTTAAACAAATACATGTTGATGTGTTAATAAATTTAGACACGACACATGTGGGTGTTAATAACAAGACACAAAAACATCTTTGTCGGGTGATAACACTTTCTGAGTACCGAAGCACGTTTATTTCCGAAAAAAAGGTGTTTGAAATTTTAATGGGCGCTGGTTTATACGCTGAGCAACACTCAATGCCAGATTACACTGGAGCTGGGGATGTACTTACAACGAGCGTCTTTATACGTGTGCTAAATTGCTCAAAGGATCGGCCTCTGACAGCTGATATCTTGCGGGGCAGAATCCGCCTTCCTCGGCTGTGAAATAGTCCAAAAAGTTAAGCTCTTGAAATCAGATGAGCAGATTCACTTTGGGAGAGGGTACAAAAATGGGACCGTCCAAAGTGTTTTCATGCGTTCTTTGCTGTCCTTCGAAGATGTATCGTTTAGGTTGTGGGGTAGCCTTTGGAGAAACTTCAAAATGAAGTTCTCTACCGTAAAAAGGTCTCTTTACTGAGGGGAGTGGCCCAGTAATACACCCCAGCCCCCATTCCGCACGATTCTTGGCTACGATGTCCGCATAGCGACGGGAGGATTCCCCGTAGTCAGCCTCTCTCCAGACATCCACGCCACCCGACCTTAGGCGCGGCTGTCCAGCCCAGGTGCGTTTCAGACTGCGCCGTGCGATCCGGAACCGACTGCCAGGCGAAACACTCCGCACGCGGGCTGATATTTCCGCCAAGCGGGTGACGTCTGGAGAAACGGGAAAACGGTGCGCCGGAGGCAAGTGGGTATCCGTAGACGGCCAACATTTCAGTCTAGGACTGCAGGCGAGAGACTGAGAGAGTCAGTTTGGTTGTAGTTAATGCAAATGTCAATGTTTGTGATGAGGAACTGAAAAACTTATTGGTGAAAAGAAAAAAATGGCCGTGTCGAGATTTTGCAGCCCTTACTAGACCTTCATCTTGGAGCAATTGAACTTTAATTAAGGGCCCCTCTATAGAACTCAGCGAGAGGGAGGAATAGAAATAGGCTCTGCTATATCCCCCAGGCACTCTTACCTCATCACAGGTGTACGATTAAAAAAAAACGATGTTGGGGGTTTGAAATGAGTGATTTTTCAGTGTACCTGGCCGACAGTAAAGCCAGATGATCTTGTCATGAACGGATACTATCAAATGACAGAAAGAGGGCAGATTAAAGTTTTAGAACCAAGGGAAAGAAATGGACCGGACACATCTCCTTTCGCCCAAAGATCTCTTCGTATATATTTTACCGAGCGACGAACAGAAAGGAGAACGGTGTTCTGTTTTCGGTTGGGTATGTACTACAGAACTGACGGACTTCAAGCAAGTTTGCAAGAACACTAGCGAGTGTGCAAACAAACATACACACACCAGGAAGGTGGTACACAGTGGGGAGCGAAAGATTGGCTTATCCGGTACTATATTTAAATAGCGCCCTCTAAAAACTACTGACGAAAGGAAGCATGGAAAAACTATACCACCTTCTTGCCAATGAAAAAAAAAAAGTATTTTACATCTTGTTTGTCTAAAGATATTGGTTCTTTTCATTACTTTTTATGCAGTTGTAAAACCGTGTCCTTCTTTTTCAGAAGTATGAAAATGTGAGGTGTAAATCAATTTCAGGGACTTCAAATGCCTATTCACCTGTTAGAATAGTATAGTGAAAACTCTGGTAGGCCTAATTTGCACTTTTGACCTCTCAATTGTCACCATAATGCATTCGGAGTAGGACACCATGCAAACACTGCTGCTTTTTCAGTGCAAATTTTAATTTCCCATTTTTTTGAAAACTGCATTCATTAGACAAACCTGCTTAGAGCCAAGATTGGTATGATTTTGTCCAGTTGTTCAAGTACCTTCGCATACACATCATTATTGTCCTTTTTAATCGGCTCCCCCGACAACTTTCATAGCTGAGCTATATTGACACTGCGGTCAACAGACGTCAAACTACGACACACTTTCAACCATCTAAATTTAGGTTATGGTAGATAGACAAGCATATTATACACACGTGTCGACAGATACTTCAAGATTTGCATGTATTGCTACCCACACTACGATTCTATGTGGAGGAGAACATGGCTTAGCGAATTCCCATGCCTGCTTGCATGATTTTAGCGCCCATAAGCAGCCTAATTAAGTCCTCCAATAAAACTGGACATGAATCACTCAGGCCCAAGCACCATCTCACGATGCTGCGGGTCTCTCGCACCGAAGAACGCGAGGGGAAAGCCTTTCCAACGCCGGGCCGGCCAAACGACGGGTCCTCAGCCGCTGCATAAGCCTCCACTCACGAGCGCGCGCGGCTGCTGCCAAATTGACAAATTTGATTTCGCGTGGGTCTAAGTGGTAACCGGATTCCTTCGGATTGCCGATGTTGTTTCTTCCTCTGCCAACAAAACTCCAAGCACCACTCCGATGATGTGATTACCCGACGCACGGGCCGGCCGGCCCCTATTCATCGAGCCACAGCTACGCTCAGATTGCATTTCAAGACATTTGTCCCGCTTGCCACTCGGGCTCCTGAAAGGGAACACCGGAACGTTGACTTTGAATTGAAAATCCACATGAAATTAGGCTTTGCTGATTTCGGGAGATTTGTTGATAATTCCCCTGTAATCACGTCAAGTATGGGGATTAAAAAAGTTCAGTAAACCGAATCACGAGTGCCACAAAACAGGATTTCATTTTTTCGGAGGTCTAATCTGTCGTAATTCGCCCACGACATTTTACGGACAATTTATCATTCCAGACAACCTTCCTAAAATATTCGCGTTTCCCCGAATTCCAAAGTATCACAAGTTCTATTGACACCGATAGAGAAATTGGCAACGATTCAAATGATTAAACTTCACAATTCAGATACCACAACGCGGCACCGAAATGTTTTAACGTGTAGGCCTACAACTGCTACTTTCAGGGAAAGCAAAGGCTAATTTTCCGTGACACACTTTTTCCCAATACCCCCGTCGTTTTTATAATTTAGTTATCCCTAACACTAGTAGCGGATTGGGTCCCTTTAATTTTGGATTTGTGAGACAGATTTTACGTCTTTAAATTTGGTACTATGAACGTCATAATTCATTAATGCAGCTTGAACCCGACAATATTATTCCGTTCGCGTTGATACGATGTTAATGTTGTGCAAGACTCTCTTTGATATAGTCAGATCTTACGTGAGTGATATCAAGAATCTTACAAGACCCTCCAAAATCATCCAAATAATTATTATCTTCGGAGAACCAACAAGGGCGGATCCAGAACAAGATGGGGGAGGGGGCTTGTGGGCCACTGTGGATCTAACGGACAACTTCGCCACGTTTCACTGGAAACTACCAATGGCCCTCTTTTATGGCGGAAAGCATTGTTAGCTTTTGTACATGCAAGGAGCGACGGTCACAGACGTGGCTCCGCATTAATAGTAATCACAGCCACGCTTATCGTTACTATCATCACTGGAGTTATTGACATTACTTACATCCGCGTGCCTACGATGTTGTTTGGAAATCGCTGTTTCACTTTTAAAATGTCAGCCATAAAGAGAAGGAAGAAAGCGGATGTTTACTTCACAATGATGGGCTACCTGCACGCAATTTGTGCTGGCGGTTCAAAGAACCCCAGGTCAGTCTTCCTGTACAACCGGCTTTCATCCCGTTGTTTAATCTCTCCACGATCCCACTGGATCTGAACTGCCGCAAGTCACGTCCAACCATCTGGTTGGTCATTGTCGGCTTTCTCCCAAAACTTGGCCAATCACGTCCAAACATGTGGTTTATCAGTGTATCGACTTCATAACTGCAGCCCCGATTCCTGTATACCTGTCCAGTGTAACTTCGTATTTTTGTCGTCCGTTTAGAGTACGTGTGATCAAGCGTTTGAGCCAAACTCATTCTCAATGAATAATACAGGATGGTCTGATTAACTCTCAAGACGATAAAGAGTGGACGCCATTTGCCGTCCACCATCAAATATAGAAAACGTAAAGAAGGCCATCCCTCTTATTAACAATTCAAAAGTTGCAAGCTGGTGTGTAGACACTGGCATTCTGTCAAATTGTTACATGCTATGCCTAGGCATTCGAGAAGGGTGAACTGGAGAAGAACGATTAGGTATGGTTTTTAAAACATGACACTATACTCTTGGCAAAGTTCCTTTAAATCGACAATGATGTATTCTTACAAATATCGGAAACTTAAATGCAGATCAAAATCCCAAACCAATTATAATGATAATACTCCTATAGACACCTAATGACAACCAAAACCTGACGCATTACGGTCTTTCGCGTAAGTCAGTGCTCCGAGTAAAGAGTGTAAAATTTTGATGACAAAAAATTCAACTGCAGATCTGCCATGAGTAAATATGCTGCTGGATAAGATATACATATACACCAAGCCCGCCAAAAGATAATAGATTCCTCAAACTTCAAGCAAACTACATAGCACCAAGAGAAGCACCGCCGTGGACGCTGCACTCGTGCAATGATGCGATTTGTTACAGTGTATCCCGACGTTGATTGACAAGTAGTACTTTATTCACCAAGGATACTCCAGGCAATACGGGCGATTCACAATAGTGCCCCTCCAAGAGTTTGCAACGCGTTGGCCAATCACGACACGCGAAATCTGTCGACCCAATGCACGTTTAGAAAGGGACGACAGATTTCGCGGGTCGTGATTGGCCATCGCGTTGCAAACTCTTGGAGGCGCACTATTGTAAATCGCCCGTGTTCAATGCAGACTGTGCCTCCATTTTACTATTTTTTATAACTGCGAATCTTTAAATTTTAGCTGCAGTCAGCACAGTCACGTGAATACTGTCGTACATGTACAGCAGACGCACAGCAGTAAACTTATAATACTCCCAACAGAATGTGCATTAAATCTTACAGAATAAAAATAACTATTAAATTAAATCTACCATTTACCGGCACCCACTAGGTACATTACGCATGATGAGACATTAAAAAATGTATGCCATGGACAGAAATAAAAATATTAAGGTAATAATGTGTGTTCACATTCTGACTTTGAATGCAGAAAATGCCAATTTCTTTTGCTGACACTGACACAGGAATCTCTTTCCCTATAGTGTGCAGCCTATGAAAATACAACCCTGTGAAGATTCACACCTCGTCCTGCAGTATAAACAAGACGCTTTTTGCAGGGAAACTGTGATGATCTCATTTTTAAAGAAAACGACGCTTTTCAAGATTCGGGGCGAGTGATTGCCCGCCGCAGACCATGCTGAGATTCCTGGTACTCCCAACACCGCTGTTTGTGATTTCTTTAATTGTTTTAGCCTTGAGTAGCGAGCTCCGTGTTGGCAATTCATTGGTATTAACAGATGGTTTCAATCAAAGAGTTCAGTGCTCTAGGGGCTTAACACTTGGGTCCATCCCCAGCTGAATCATGGAGGAAGCAATTTCGAAAAGGTAGTCGTAGCACTCACACCTGAAAAAAAGTTGAAAGACGATATAATCATCAAATGAGAATCCTATCAACTAGGTTGGTTTGTCAGGTGAGGATGGGCTCAGTTGGTTTGAAGGTGAAATAGATTGGTGTTTAACAGCGTTATTTATCGCATGAATGTTGTGAAATGAGGGGAAAAAGAAGTGTTCACATGAAAACATTATTAGTTATGATGTGATGGCTATCATTCCAGCAAACACTTTCGGATTTGTGACAGGGTAAAAAAAAGGACAAGTTATGTAGCACTACTGCCTCTAGTTTGCGGCAATGATACAATGAAGGCTTATTTGTTGTTTGATCAATCGGGTGGTTGTGAAAAAAAAAACAGATGAAAAGATATTTTAGGACTGGGTCGTAAGACGTGCCCCGTACTGGTATTGTATGAGGGGTTACACCAAGCAAACCCTACTTGTAAGTTACTGTGAAAAATGGATGCTACTGGCGTAATCTTGAAGTAGGTTGCACAAGGTATCTGGGAGAGGGATGCAAGATATTTCTTGAAAAACTCAACCTTCTCCCGAAATGAAGTCCTCTAGAAATGGGCTGCGGGAGGTGCTAAAGAAATAGAATGCATGAGATACTCTGGAAAGAGGTGCAGGAGGCAA